GAAGTGACAGCTTGATTCTCACAGAAGGTTGAAGCTACAGCTACTTGAAACGTTCACACGTCAGGTTACTTCGGGCTGGCAGTCGCTCACCTTGCAGACTTCTGAGACACCATGACCTCCTGACTTCCTCTGAAGGATCCGGAAAATAGGAGCACACACTCGAGCCAAATTCTGCAGAGTCGATCAGAGTCACAAGGACAGGACGCGGCAACACTTCAGCACTTGAACTTATACAGTACGGCTTTTATTATTGCGGCCCATCATGGCTCATCATAACTCATGACATGGCCAGAGCAGTTGCAGTGCTCAACAATAAAGTCACTGGCCCAACCACGCACAGCACCGCAATCGTGACCCAACGCTGCCATCCTCCATGCTCACAATCGCTCCAGAATGGACGAGTGCCTGAATGATGTCGATATATATGGAGTCTGGAATCGACTACGGTCGGATATGTTCAGGTGCAGAGCTGGTCTTTACGCCTTTGGTCCTCTCTCCCTAGCTCGCTTATTGCAAGAGTCCCGGAAACACTCTGACAGTGCTCTCTTCAAAGGCCTACAGTCTCCGCTATATTGTCTCTGTGCCTCTCTCTCTTTCTCTCTCTCTCTCTCTGTCTCTGATGGTGGTGCATCTCTTTTGCTGGGCTCGCGGCTTCAAAGGTTCCCACAACATTTTGCTCTGTCAACCATGGCAAGTCGTCGTGGGCATGCCTTAGTACTGTCGAAATCAAGAGCTGTTGCAACTGTATGTTTGAGAGTTTTCCTACAATTGCCGTCAGCAAGGAAGCCAAAGAGGTCTTAGTTCCCGTCCACTGATGGAGTGAGCGACCTGCAAACTTCGGCCTGCTGCCCAGCAGTATTTCTGCCTGCGAGTTGCTAGAATCTGTTGAGGAGCGGAGTCGAGCCATGTATAGCATGTTTGCATCCGAAATCATTTCATAAGTTGCTGCCTCATCTGTGAGCCGCGGCAACCTCCTCAAAGCAGACCTTCTTTTCTGCAGCTCCTCAGCTACCAAAGTGTCTCAAATGCAGCGTGGATGCTTTTGGCATGTGAATTGAGGATGTAGAAAGACTTGTGGACTTTGAAGAGGTGTCTTTTGGGGTTATCTCTTACTACCATAACCGTTTGCGGGGGTTGTCTGAAGAGCATGTCAATAGATCCTCCCCAAAAATGGGGCACCACCAATGAGCACATCAATGGACCGAAAACTTTGTACCCAAGCTGCACCTGCATCCTTGCACATCTCTTGTTGTCATGTGTCCTTTTTAATTCCTTCCTCACTTCATTCCCTTTCGTTTCCATTGAGCGTCCAAGAATGTATATCGGGTAGCAAGATTCATTCTGAGGGTTTTCATGTTTGCTTTGCACCCGTTCTCCTTTCTACTGTACATAATGTAAGTTTAATGTCCTTTCACTTGTTGCCTTTTCCTTTCATTTGCTTTCATGTCCTTTTGTGCTACCTTCCTCTGAGGGTTGCATTGTACAGAAAGCCTAACAGCTAAAGGTCCAAATACCCTACACAAATGAATGCACAACAATCAAACATGATTGTCTCACTGTGAACTCACTTTGGGGGCTACCTGTTGTGCTTCTAGGCTGGGTATTCAACTTGGAAGCCAAAAAGGCAAATCTCTAACTGAACAACAAGAAGTTTCATAGCAACTGAATGGTGGCTTATCGATTGCTTCTTTTCCCTAATTATCGCTTTCTTCTGGGCCTACCTTTTCCAAAATCGGGCCACCCAAAGACTACTTGCTGAGTAGAGTAGAGGGTCTTTTTAAGTGGTTCAATTGGAGAGTACTGGTTCAGATGTGCACAAACAGGGCCGTGTCTAGTATGCTGTCTTAGTGGAAAGGGGTACCGCCATGCACAACGAGTGATACACACAAAATTCTTGAAGAATTGAAGGGTGCGGAAACAAACCACAAATGCATTGAATGGATGCACGTTGCGGTGCACTGGATGTTGCTAGTCAATTTTAAGTCTGAGAGCTCTAGTCGGTACGAACCTGACACACGACATTTGCTCAACCAATTCGCAGTTGGAAGTATCAAATCAGTATGTTTAGCCGTTCTTGCCCTTTGCGCATGACCAAGTGATTGGAATGCTCCCTACGGTTATAGTATGTGCAACTTGGAAGGCCTTTGTGAATCATTACGATAAATCAAAGTGCAAATGTCAATTTAGCCAAAACCTTTGAACACTTTGCACATCAGTGGCCTTGTCGTAGTGAGCTAGAAGGCTTGATGCGAGCTCTTTGGCCTGCACACATCAAGAATGTCAAGAAACAAGAGTTCTGCATCAATGCTTCCTGAACCGCTTGAAAGTGTAAAGGACACAATAGAAGAAAGTCGCTCCGTCCGACGAGTCAAGTGACTTGATGTCTTGTTTTCGAATCACAAGCCGTTGCCTGCTGGTAGGGTGGTGCTGCGGGAGTACTTTAACTCAACCGGCTCTGTGTGTGAAACATGTATGCCAGCAGCTCAGTCTTAGTCTTGTCTGCGAGAAGGAATCTATAGTCATTTTATATAGTCTATGCTGTACACTCGGGCCGCTAATGCAACCAAAACCGCCTTTCAAGCCAGGCAACTACATCGCAGCACCTTGCGAAGACCTACGTAGCAAGCTCCTGACCGGCCCCTCATTCGCCGAGAAGGCACTGGTAGCTGAAGCTTTGAAACCCGATATGCCTGTGGTCTCCCGTGCAGCTGTTCGAACATCCAATCACAATACGCTTGTGAAAAGCATGGTGGACCACCTAAATAGACGGGAAGTTCACTGGCTGAACAAACTTGAGAGATCTTGCGGCGTCCTGGGCCAGTCTCAGCAAAGCACACCAGCTGCCGGATGCTTGATGGGACAAAGTGCTTGAAGGCTTGCCAGGTCAGCAAAAAGATGCGTGGTGCATCAAGGAGCCAGACTCGAGATATATGGCAAGGATGACTCAAGGCACCTTTGATCGCGGCATGCAAAGCGAGTGGGTCAAAGCTGACGTTTCGCAAGCCAACATCTTTCAAATCATACACGAAACAAATGCCGCGCCGATTTGCGTCGATGCCACTGCACAAAGTCGCATCTTGCGCCATCCAGGTATTTTTAACAACTTGTGAAGCGGTCATGGTTGAAGGTACTGATAAAGCTAGCCGAACCCAAATCATTGGTCGGCCATCCACATCAACACCGGAACGAACGCAGAAGCCAGCGTCATACACTCTCCGAACTAAATCGTCACTGACATCTTGGATCTTCAGTTCTCTGGCCGTGGCCAGATGCCTTCGCCAAAGGTCTGCAGCTGCATCAACGTCCAAGGCTCGTGACCATGCCAATTGAGCAAGAAGTCCTTCAGGACAAGGCTCAGCACCTTGAAGTCGCTCCCGCAGCTCTCGAATGACAGCTTCTTCTTTGTCTGTGTGGCCTGGAGAGGCTATTGCCGGCACCTCGCAATGCTCCTCCGCTCTGTCTCCTATTTTCCTGCCTATCCTCTCCCATCGGAAGAAGGGAATTGTGCCCACTGCCGGGGCAAAAAGAGCGGCAGCTAATGCAGCTGCAAGCAACGTAAAAATCATTAGCATCTCGTCACTGTGTAGCATGGCGGCACTCAAGGCTACACTGAATGTCAAGCAAAAGTCTATTCAATCTAATTATTCTTCAACCAAAGGCCAAAGGCAACCGCAGGCAAAAGTTGTCTTTTCAACTCAAGCATGGGAATCTACATATGCCTCGTGACGTTTGTTATCGTTTGCCTAGAACACCGACACCGGGGGTGAGATCCATGTTCCATCATCTTCCACTCCCAAGCCCGTGCCCGCCGCTTCCACAAGGCGACCCGTACTGTCAACCGCGACCCGTAGGAGCGTTGATGGATTGGGCGATTCCCATGTCTCGCCGTGTTGCTTTCCGACTCGGGCGCGTAAGTCCCGAAGTCGCCTCTCTCATGCACCATCTCATTATGCCACTGTGGAGCAAGTAGCGTGCAAAGTAATTGCACCTTGACCCAATGGAGCACTCACTTTATGAGTGCCATATAATATGCATGTTGGCAGCTTACCGGCCAATCTGAAGCTGCACGCATTGCAAGCCCTGGTCTGAGGGTCTTACTCTGTGTTTGGTGGCTGCCTGCAGGCGGGCTGAGCGAATGTTACAAGAAAAGACCTGAGACCCTGAGACTGCATCAATAATTAAACTTCGAGTTCCAGACTGGAGGGTAGCTGCACTAACCTGACACCAAAGAAGCCCTGAGTGAACCTTCTACTTTCTGACCCATAATCCCACCTGTGGGAGCAGCAACTTGTGTGCACCTCGAATGCTAACTTACATGCTGTGGCACTAAATACGGAAGGCCTCCAGTTGTAGAAAAATCCTCCCAGGCAGGTTCTTGGCGCCAAGCACATCCTGCCTCGCCGTTCTCCCTGCACGCGAGGTTTACGTCGATATTCAAAGGGGCGATAGAAGGTGATCGAATTCCCAAAGCCTCTTCCAAGCCATCTTCGACTTCACGAACTTCGAGGATTTGCCTTGGTGGATTTCCGTAGCATTGGGGAAAGGAGCCCTCTTGGCATTGCAGGCCCCCACTCATAGAGACGAAGTTTGTCATGCCGAGAGATCCGTCTCCCCTCCTTGTCGGCCACAAACATATTTTGGGGCCTCAGCTAGGGGCATTGAACAGCTTTCCTCGTGAGCATGACAACTTACCATTCAAAACTACAAAACGACACTGTAATGAGAATCAAAGTAGTGATGCACTTGATACACGAATGGAAACAGTTCCCCTAGCTCTCCCCATTTCAGTGCTACCAATTCTCAGCATGTGCCCAGTCCGGCACTTGCCCAAACAGTTTCACCTTTGAACATCCGGGGAGTTGAACAATCGCTCGCGTCAACCTGGTGCTTGAGATTTAGCCAAAATCTCAAGCACCATCATCGACAAAGTCTTTGGTGGGAAGCACATTGAGGTGCAAGTGAGCAGTGCAGTATGAGAGCGGGATGGGGGGAGCATTTCATCAGTGGAAGGCGTGACTTGTGAGGCGAAATGACACCACAAAGCCACAATGGCCTGCATTGGCCTGCTGCCGGTCAGGCTGCTCAAAAGTATGCCGTTTCTCAGAAAAGCAATACAAGAACTTGGCCCAGGACCCTTTCGGGAAAGCAATCTCCTGACAATCAATGCTCAGAATTCCGAGCCTGCAACACACTTCTACTAAAGCCATTGGTGCAGCTAAAGAAAGAAAGATCTTGTTGCTGTTGCGCGGAGTCCAGAAAGGCTCGAGCAGCTGCAACGGGGTCATCCGCCAGATTTGCCACGGCAGATTCAAAGCTTTCCCAAAGCAGCCGGCTGTCTCTAAGAAGGTCCCTCCAGGAGAGCTCACTCTCTGCATGGGTAAGTTGATGTAAGTTGCACGAGCAATATGTTCAATATGGTTTGCCCTCTTCATAGGTGCTTGAACCAGTTTGTATGCTCTAGTGCATTCTAGGGTCAAGTTTTAGGACTTTAGGAATTAGCTGTTCATTGATACTGCACTGCCTGCAGCGGTTCACACCCTTGATTTGCCCATGAGTCATACCTGAACACAGCAAAGCAGCACGACTCAGTAGATGTCACGAGTCATCTATACACAAACCACCAGCAACAACAAAGACCGCTCAAAAGTGATCAAAAGTGATCCCGGGAATACAACCCTGATCAACCCTCTATCTTCGGGCTGCCTCAGGTCTCCAAACTGAGCATGCTCATTGTCGCTGTGCTCACTCACGAGGCTTGGGGGGGTCCTTGAAGGTCCTAGGAGCTTCTTGCTTCAATTCTAATTAGATTCTAATTAAACTTGCTCCTAGGAGCTTCTTGTTACTAGTAGTAAGGCCAGGAGCCCCTAGTAGCGTCCTTGCTCCTAGTAGCGATGCCCTTTGCTCCTAGTAGCGTCCGATCGCTCCTACTCGCGAGGCTTGGGGGGAGGTCCTTGAAGGTCGACGGGTCCACGCGCTCAATCGACGCAAACACTCGGCGACACACTTCGCGGCGCCTCGGACGGTCTTCGCGCGAAGGAGTGCGGTTTCGCCCTGGCCGTCACTTTGACAAAAGGAAACGACATCATCAATATGTGTTTAAAGAAAAACGCATGACCAATGAGATGTTTCATGGTTTTCATATGTTGTCATGATGTTTCCTCATGTTTTCTCTCAGGATTGAGGCTGCCTGCAAGCTCACGATTGTGGCATCAGCTCCATGTGCCAAGAGAACCTCTACCTCCAAAATCCAAAAATCGTGTTTCTATCTTACACGCGCGGAAAACATCTCAAAACAACTGACGAATCTTTTGCTCGGTGGCCAAAGGAGTCTTCTTTAGTACCTTCTCATCAGCACAATGAACTACAATCTCAGGAGGAGGCTATGTTTGCATGACCACCGGCTGCCGCAATTCCAAGTGCTGTGTGTCGAGCATCCTGAGCGAGAACAGCGTGGTTATTCTTCGACCATCTTGGACCTTTGTGGCTTTGTCTGATGCAAGTCGCGTTCATCGAATCGACATCAGCTCGAAGTAGCAGGAGTTCCTGCAGGAATTTCAACATGTTCAAATCTGAATGAATCTGAATAGTTCTTTTTCTACTAGTTGCAAAAAATTGGTAAAGTAAAGCACCTCAATCACACCTGTCTTCACTTTCCATCCATATTCGCAGGCCTCGGAATAGTCTGAACATTTGAAGTCGTAATGTCCAATTGCCAATAGTCTTAGGATTCCTGCATAGGTCAGCGGAACACGACCTGTTGCTTGATCTCTGTAGTTCACATTTGCCTCAAAGCTGAAATCTTCGAAAAAAGGAAGAAGTCGGAAACTGCCCAAACATTCAGTCATAAAAAAGTAGGCAAACGGCCTTTCGACTCACCAAATCGCGCAATAGGAGTCGTGCTTCGGCCTTGCCAAACCAACATTCTGTGGTGAACTATCGGGCTTCTTTCAAGTGCTCTTTGTTGCCTCACGCTGAATGCAAAGGAATAAGGAAATGGTGGGCAGCCGTCCCACCTCCAGCATGCGGCTGCTTTCCCGGATGGGACCCTCCATGTCCACCAGCCATCTTGAAAGCTCATGATCAAACTCTTCAGCCAACTCCTCTCACACACAAAGCATACAGCTCTGGAATGTCCTTCACAAAAAAAGAACTGCTTGATCAAACAAACATGAAGTTGAAAGGAAAAGCAGCACACGAGCACTCGAAGCAAAGTTCCTTCTTGCCATGAAGGACCTGGTGGATTCTGTCCAGCCGATCAGCTGTGAGACTTTCATCAACAGAGTCCCAGCACCTGCAGACTACCCATGTCTATGTATGTGTGTGTGCATATATGTAGATGTCTGTGTATAATCGATAATATGCATTATTAATATGTATATATATATATATATAGTGTGTGTGTGACGTGTGTCTTTTAAACGAATGTTTCTATTCGTTATCTAGTTGTCTATTCAAGTTGCTGTGTAAGTGGGATATGTCCTCTCTCTCCACATGTTGCACTCATTCAGTAAATTTGCATTCGGGAGGGTTTTAGGTCCAAATTACTCCCACCATGAAGTTGGTAAGCTCGTGGTGCACTATTATTGCGGGCTCCCCTGCCTGAAAACTACTGCATGGAGTCATGTGCGGAATCTAGAACCTGCCACAGCCTCGAGTGACATGAATTCACAGCCGCACACGAGTCCGGCCTCTCATACTCCTTGTACAAGGCCTTGGAGCCAGCTGTAATCCACTCAATCTGGTGCTCAAAAGAAGTGAAATCACAAAGACTATATAATAGTCCGGTCGCAATCCAGCAGCGCCTGAGGCAACAAGTCAGCACGATACAGGGCGTTTGCTCTCCGTTCGCCTCAAAGCAGGGGCGTGAGCGAGTGACAGCAAACGACAGTATGAATCGCATGAATTTCAAGAACAACCATTGCAGTTTTAGGTGGAGACTAACCAGTTGCTCTTGCTCATAGCCGATTCGGGGCATCTGTATGGAGCCAGGGGTGCTCCATTCTGTCCTGGCGATGTCCCGATCTGATCAAAGGGCTAAGACAGCAATCAAGGGCACTGACGTGCTCCAACAGCTGAGGTGCTTGCCATCCACCTTTTGTCAAAGCTTGAACCTGACCAATGATTGGGAAAACAAAGGGGGTCTTGAAACGCGTGTTTCTGCTTGGCTTCCTTGTGCTTACGACCGCCCATATGCCAAATCAAGCAAACAATACGCATGTTTCACAAATATACTGCACTGAGATGCTGGCGGAAAATTCGTAGCCCACTTCTGCTTTTAAACCGACCACTTCATGCGCTGTGAGCTGAACCTTAATCGTCTTGTTTTCAAAGCTGGCACAACTCACACTTTTTGCATCCAAGAAACGCTCATATTTCCCTTCTTTGCCAGCCACTTGAGCCACAGCCTCACTGCCAGCAATTAGAGTCGCCTTGTGACACGCCACTTTGGCAAATCGCAGCTGGGGGCCACGACTCATCAACCACCTGCACATGCGCTGCCACGAATGAAGAAGGCTCAAATGCCGGACCCAACATGACCCAATGGACCCTGTTGCAGGCAGCATGATCCAAACTGGGAAAGTTGAACAGCTCCTTCATGCCAATCTTCGACACTCTGAACACATCCGAATCCTCCCCTTTTGGCAGACTGGCGCCTTCCAGCCAGCCAGCACTTGCTGGCGCGGGTCATAGTGATCAAATGGCGGGGGCAAATGAACTGTACATTCGCACCATGCCGTACATTAACAATCGCCCTTGACCTTTGAGCTTCATTCGAGGTCGACAGCTTGCAGGCAAAGGCGAAGAGCTAGTTTGAAGAGCTGTAGTTTCACCTTGCTGACTGCAAGAGCAAATCGAAGGACAACATTGACCCTTGCCCTTCACGATGCAAATGCTGAAAGACGATCCGGGCCCACGAGTCAGCCCAAACTCGAGATCTTGCTGCCACATGTGCTACCGGTACCACCTGCATCTGTCTGTTCACGATGTCTATGCTGCGAACATCACATCGGACCAAAGCCTTCGGCTTGATTTGTCCACCTTGCAGCTTGGCCAGCTCATCCTCATTGCACTGGGCAACCAAATGCCGATCCGCTGTTCTTAGGCGACCACCTCCACGAATCTCTAGTACCACGGACTGTTTTGGTGGTAACTCTGCCCCTTTCTCATCTGGGGTATCTACCACATAGCGGCTCACGTGGGCATCACGCCACAAGCGAGCCACCGGGGTCACAGGTTCTGACACCTGGTAACGACCCTCTCGGTGCAAGAAGAGTAAAGAGTCTTTGGGATAGCCAAAGTCACCGTAGTAAAGCTCTTTCAGACTCTCTGCAGTCGCTGGCATTGCACGAACCAGCTGCAAGGGCCTTGCACGCCTTGGGGCTTTCTCTCGCATCTCCTGAAACCGCGATTCCAGCCAAAATAGCCGGCATTCAGCTTCAGTCCCAGCAAGATCGACATCTCCCCAAACCAAAACATCGCAAACGGCATATTTGCGGTTTCCTTGCGGTCTCCTGCGGCGGCCTTTGCCCTTGCCCTTCTTGCCACCTTGGCCTCCCATTTCCTCGTCAGACTCGACTCCTTCTTCATCTTCCCCCATGTCTTCAGCTGGAGCTTCCTCAATTGAAGCAGTTTGCTGAATTGAAATAGTTTGCTTTAGCAGGCTGCCTTCTTGAGTGGCTGCAGTACCGCAGATGGGTTGCCGCTGTGCAGGCCCTTCAATGCAAACAACATCCAAGATTGTCAGACCTCGGCCAAGTCGCGAGTCTGTGTAGCGCTCCAAAACGTAGCCATTCTTCTTGCGCACCTCTACGCGGCCTCCCTCGGACAAAAGCAAACACCTTTCACCTTCAGGTTTTGCGAGGACAAGCCAAGATGCTGCCAAATCATCTGGAGGCACCAGCATCCAATCTGGTACTTGCAGTTGCCTAGCAAAGAACAAGGTCCGATGCAAGCGACGCAGCCTCTGCATCTTGCTTTTGCCATGCTTGTAGCCTCCATCCATGTCCATGTCACCTGATGCATCGACATCCTCATCTTCGTCATCTGGGATCTCGACCTCCTCTTCCAAATCGTTCTGTGACTTGCTGCCCAACAGGGCCTCCATGGCCACACGTCGCATGTGCTCTAGCCTCTCAGCTCTATTGTCGCTCTGCTGCATTGTCAAAGCAGCATGTAGTCTCGCGGCTTCATCTGCACGAGAGTGTGTCGCTTTAAACTGTCCCATCCGCCCTTGTGTAGCACGTTCCCGGGCATCATCTGGAACCGTCATTGCATCAAAAGCGCACCAAAATCGAGCTGCTACCGACAGGTTGCTAAAGCAAATCTTCGAGCCAAAGCTCCAAACACTGCAATTGAAACTGCCCTGAAATGGCCAGGCGCGATGACTATTGCATAATGAGAAAAGCTTTTCTAGGAGCGATTTAAATGGACAAGTTCGTCTGAATAAAAGGCGCCTTCACCTGCTCGTCCTCAACCTGCAAAATCCTGGCCGCGAAACTGTCGAAGAACAAACTGGCTGAACAGTCGGCTAGCTGCACGTCTGCTCTGAGAGAAGGACATTGCATCAGGATGCCCATCAACATGATTGACTGTGGCCAAGGCCTATCATCAAGACATGAACCTCCATTGACACCCCTTTGTGTACCAGTTTGCTGTTCTCTGATTCTCGATGGTTCGGAGCCTGCTTCTCCTCCGTGTGATTGGCCATAGGTGTCCCCTCCAAATCCATCTGATGATATCTGATGTGAAATGTCTTCTCTAATTCTTATGAGGTAATTCGAACTCTTGTCCCCAAGAAAGCTCAGCAGTGCATCGTCACAACCGTCACAAGGGAAACAACAAACTCTACATAATCATGTGAAACTAGCCACTTGCCTTGAGGTAGTTCGTGCCATCAGCTACCCAAACTGCCTGCAATGCAATGGCAGGTGGATGCTGGTTGTCTGCGCTTAGTTGCCCTTCATATTCTTCATGGACTTGGGCATCTGCTGTCATCCAGTATGTATGAACCATGTGGTAGAGACGAGTGTACAGTTCCTGCCCCGACTGTGCACAATCCAGCTTTTTGAGGATCCTAGCTACACTTCGCGATCATTTGCCTAGTTGTTAGCACGACCGATTTTGGCCTCATCGCATGCTGAATGCAGCAAAGCACCACTATGCTCTCACAGCAAGAGGTTACCCCGGTGCAATGTGAATGTGAGGGTCTCAGTTGAATGCTTTAATGTCTAAGGTGAAGTATGCCGCAAGTCAGCTTTGACCTCATAATAGTACTGTCTCACTGCCCTCTGCCAGGCTCGCTTTGCGATGGCTGAAGGCATACAAAAACTTTGGGACTTACTGTGGCCCTGTAGACACGAGTTAGTCAGGCACATCACTTCAGAATCAAGAATTGTGAACTGGGGGTCGGCAGAGTTTGTCAGACACCAGCCATTTTGCTCCGCCGCGGTCTCGTGTCTTTTGACCTGTCCTGCTTGGGGGCGAACAGCTTCGTCTCACACCTCCAGCAAGGTCTTGCAACATTCTGCAAGAACCCTTGCGCAAGAACCACTCCATTCCGCGCTTCATGCCGCCTGAAGTGGGACGATGTTCAGTTGACCACAAGGATCAACCAGGTATACAAGTAGTTCCCGGGCAAGCCGGCGGCGGAAGTTTGCTATAAGAAGAAATTGACCTATAGGAGTGCCCACGTTCTCTCCAACATGCGCGTCCTCCAGTCAAACGCACGCGCTCCGGACTTTTGACCCACGGGATTCCACGTGTGTAAGGTGTGTGTGCCCCCTGCGAGAGATGACACACATCCGGCCACCACGACTTGCCAAGGATGCGGTCCACATCAACACACATCCCACCGTGGCATTCTTCAGTGGCGGCAAACCTTGCATACCACACATCGGACTGAATGGAATCCGAATTTGAATGTAAAATCTGTCTTGAACTCTGAGACTATGGTTTTTGAGTCTTGTATGCTGAGGGGTGTATGACAAGTGATGAATGATGAGTGGTGTATGTTGAGTGGTGTATGACGAGTGGTGTATGATGAGTGGTGTATGCTGACTGGTGTATGATGAGTGGTGTCTTGACCAGCAGTTGAATGTCCTGTCCTGCATAACTGCAACCAAATACTATCAGTATGAACTGAACGTGCACGCCGCGAGAGATGACTCAGCAGCGAGAGATGACTCAGTCGCGAGAGATGACTCAGCCGCGAGAGATGGCTATAGCGAGAGCTGACTCAGCAGCGAGAGATGAACGAGCAGCGAGAGATGACTCCTCCGCGTACTACACTGTTCGCCAGTACAACTCTAGTTGTACTACGAAGTCGCCAGTCCTCAGCTTCTAGCTGCACAGATTGCTCCGCGTGCTGAAGTTGTACTACAAAGTCGCCAGTTCTCAGCTTCCAGCTCTACAGATTGCTCCGCGTACTAAAGTTGTACTAGAAAGTCGCCAGTTCTCACCATCCAGCTCCACAGATACTCCGCGTAGTAAAGTTGTACTACAAAGTCGCCAGTTCTCCTCGTCCAGCTCGCCAGATACTCCGCGTACTAAAGTTGTACTACGAAGTCGCCAGTTCTCAGCTTCTAGCTGCACAGATTGCTCCGCGTACTGAAGTTGTACTACAAAGTCGCCAGTTCTCATCGTCCAGCTTGCCAGATACTCCGCGTACTAAAGTTGTACTACAATGTCGCCAGTTCTCAGCTTCCAGCTCACACATTGCTCCGCGTACTAAAGTTGTCCTACGAAGTCACCAGTTCTCAGCTTCCAGCTCCCCAGATGCTGTGCCTGCCACGAAATCTGCCCATGGAGGTTCACAAAGTGCTGCGCCTGCCACGAAATCTGCACCTCGACACTCACAAAGTGCTGTGCCCGCGAAGAAATCTGCACATGGAGGTGCACAAAGTGCTGTGCCTGCCACGAAATCTGCACATGGAGGTTCACAAAGTGCTGCACCTGCCACGAAATCTGCACATGGAGCTTGAGCTGGTGTATGAGCGGTGTATGATGAGTGATGTATGATGAGTGGTGTGTGATCAGTCGTGTATGATGAGTGGTGTATGAGGAGTAGTGTATGATGAGTAGTGTATGAGTCGCCAGTTCTCATCGTCCAGCTTGCCAGATACTCCGCGTGCTAAAGTTGCACTACAAAGTCGTCAGTTCTCAGCGTCCAGCTCTACAGATTGCTCCGCGCACTAAAGTTGTACTAGACAGTCGCCAGTTCTCACCATCCAGCTCCACAGATACTCCGCGTACTAAAGTTGTACTAAAAAGTCGGCAGTTCTCAGCTTCCAGCTCCACAGATACTCCGCGTACTAAAGTTGTACTACAAAGTCGCCAGTTCTCATCGTCCAGCTCGCCACATACTCCGCGTACTAAAGTTGTACTACAAAGTCGCCAGTTCTCAGCTTCCAGCTCCCCGGATGCTGTGCCTGCCACGAAATCTGCACATGGAGGTTCACAAAGTGCTGTGCCTGCCACGAAATCTGCACATGGAGGTTCACAAAGTGCTGTGCCTGCAAAGAAATCTACACATGGAAGCACAAAGTGCTGTGCCTGCCACGAAATCAGCACATGGAGGTTCACAAAGTGCTGCGCCTGCCACGAAATCTGCACATGGAGGTTCCCAAAGTGCTGTACCTGCCAGGAAATCTGCACATGGAGGTTCACAAAGTGCTGCACCTGCCACGAAATCTGCACATGGAGGTGCACAAAGTGCTGCACCTGCCACGAAATCTGCACATGGAGGTTCACAA